AAAACTGAAACTAGAATATGCCCTCGTTTTCCTTTCCCAAGATATTGTGGAGTAGCATTAAAAGAACCTAATTACTGCAGCTGGTTAACGGGAGAAGATAGAGAAGGATGTCATTAAAGATTTGCAGCAACTGGTATCATTATTATTATTGTTTTTACTACGGTTATTATTCTAATTATTGCTGTTATTATTAGTTTCACTGACATCGTTATCCTAACTATTTTTCACCGTTATCATCATTATCATCACCGTTACCAACAAAAGTTTTATAGCCATTAGACCTAGCATTACAGGAAGTAATTGAGTCTGAAATAAAATGTCAGAAAAAAATTTAATCAAATTTATACAATTGTAAAAATCTATGAAAATACATAAGGTACAAAAATTTTGCAAACAGTTCTAAAAATTTTTTTCTTCTTAAAAATACATCCTTAGCAACGTGTAAAAAACAGCAAAAATTATCGGTAACCTTATTTCTTTTTAGACATAACCTTTGTCCCTCTTACCAGTTTTACACACAGGTTTTATGGCTAAAAAAAGTGAAAAAAGAGGAGAACAATCAAACTATAGCATAGCTCACATTACACATTGAATGACAAGAAATTTTTTTATTGTTTTTTTCCATGTCTTATCAACTGCTTTAGACAAGTTATAAAGATAGAACAGAGATAAAAGCAAAGAAGAATAAGCTTATGATAATAATTATGACAACGGTGCTAAAATTGCTAAGAACGAAATGACAGACAAAGATGATGATGATGAAGCCGATGGATTTTCACCCAGTTGTATTATAATAGATCAAATGTGATCTGCAAATAAAAAGCTGAAAAAAAAATAACAGCAAAATCGGCAGCAGTAGTAATAATATATACATCATCGTTACCACCAACTTCACCACCACCACCATCGTCAGCAACAACAACAGTAGCAGTAGCAGCAGCAGCAACAATATTATCATCGACAATAATAAAACATACCGCAAATCGTAATTTACCAACAGGTGGTTCTGCATACGGAATACCTCGAAATATTTGTACATGACGATCACCAATTCGAAATATATTACCGCGTACTAACCCCTGTTCAATCCATACAGAACGTGATTTTTCTTTTCGTGGAAATTCTCCATTTATCATCAATATTGCCACCGAGATTAACAGTACAAGTTGGCAATACATCTATGAATTGAATGACGACAACAACAGCAACACCAACAAAAACAACAGCTACAGCACCAGCACCAGTACCAGCACCAGCAGTGCCAACAGTAGCAGCAACAGCAGTGGCAGCAGCAGCAGCAACAACAACAACAACAACGACAACAAGAACAGCAACAACACCAGCAGCCGACAACAGCAGCAGCAGGAGCAGCAACAGCAACAGCAACAGTAACGACAACAACAATAACAACAGCAACTACAGCGGCAATGGCAACAACAAACAACAACAACAACAACAACGACAAATAACAACAGCAGCAGCAGCGACTGCAGTGGCAGTAATTACAACAGTAATTTGAGAAAAACTAATCTTTGCACTAACTGCTTATTATAGTTTACTCTGAAACTTAATATTATTAACAGTAAAATGAACATTTATGAATAATAGTGGCAAAAAATTATCCCATCGTTAATGCCATTACCATCCGCAATAATAGAGATTGGAAAAGCTGAAGATAAAAATGATAACTGTCAACAACTACAATTTAACGCAGTCGCCAATAAACTATGACAGCATTTGTACAATTAATAATAACATTGTTAGAAATTATACTAATAATAATAATAAAGAAATAGAAATAATTAGCAATAAAAATTTTAGATGTATAAAGAAAAAAATTAGCAAAAATTAAGAGGAGAAAAAGATAAAGAGAAAAAAACAACAAAACTTAATTTGTATTTTTTAGTGAAATAGTTTAAAAATAAACTATTTTGCACAGGTATTAGCAACAGAAAATTAACTTTTGAACAGACACATAAAACAACTGTCCAATTTTAATTGTTGCCGCCCCAACTGTTCAACATTCTTTTTGCAAAATTCTATGTATTATTTGTTTTTGTTATTGGTTGAAAAACACCGATGAACAAATGAATGAATAAATAAATGAATGAATGAATAGATGAATAAATCGGTGCACCATAGGTGTATAGATGAATAGATGGGATGAATGTTTTGGATGGATAGATAGACGGATCCGTTCGTCGGATATAACACAAACGCATAAAAAATGTCAGCAAAAGCTTTATTTTATTTTAAAACACTTTTCACCAATACTTAAACTTTAAAAAAAAAAGAAGAATCTCTTTTTTTTTCTTCTCAAAAACGATGTTTTTAAAGCTAAAAAAAAAAAGTGGAAAAGAAATATTACAAACATAAATTGTTTTTTTTTTTATTTTTTTTGTTGTATCAACAAAAATTATTATTAATTTTTACAAAAAAAAAAAGAAAAAAAAAAGCTGACAACAACTTTACTATTAATACCACTGTTGTTTTGTCAGTCATTTTACAGCAACTTAAACATTTTTAACAAATATTATTGCTGTTAGAGATTTTTTTTTCGTTTAGCATATTACAGCTTCACCGATCATTTTTAACAATTATAAGAACGTTGTGCTAAAATTGCTTTACAAGTATAAGTTTAAAAATCAAGTAGAAACTGAAAGAACATTGAACCAAAAATTGTTGGCTTAATGTTTTTTTTCACTCAACTCGCTTTTTTTACTCCCCCTTCTTCTCCCCCCACTCCCTTTGTTATATTATTGGCGATAACGTACAGACTGTAGAGAAAAAAAAATGAACAAACACATTCTGTAAGAATGATATCTGATAAGTAAAGCAGTATTAATTATTTGTTACTATAATAGGAAAAAAGACTGGCAGTGAGAATCATAAAAAGAAGGAAAGAAAAAGAAGGAAAAGATGAAGATGAAGAAGAAGAAAAAGAAGAAGAAGAAGAAGATAATAATGATGATAAAGAGGAAACGAAAAGCGAAAAAAAAAAGCGATGAAGAAGTGGAATAGAAAGGAAATAAAGAAATAATATCTCAATTATCTTTATGGACCTTATAATTGCCTTTTTTTGTTGTTAAAACACGATTAAAAGCTTTATCTTTATCATAAAAACTAAAAAAAATTTTATTTTTGTTTTTATAGCTACACCTTTCTGTCTGCTTTTATTGTTTTGATTCTTTTTTTTTTTTTTTTTTTT